TCGATACAGTAGTTGATGCCGAGGCAGTGAAGCATCTAGTGGAAGGAGACGGTAAGATGGTCGGACGAATGTTAGTCTCGCCAAAGGCGTAGTTGCATCAGGATCGATCAGCTCGATGAAGACTCGTAGAGTCCTGACCAGTCGGGGGGTCTTCACTGCCACTGCTCAAATCGCTGCTGTTATCCATGCTGGAGTTGACCCGGTCCTGGACATCACGCGAGCTACATGGCGGGAACGGATACGCGAGGTCAGCTATCACCATGGGAGGGCTGCTCATTTCATGCAAGGTTGACCACATCGCTAAGACGTACCAGGAAGTGATTTCGAAGAATACAGTCGTGGCCAGCGGAGCGGTGAGACTTGAGTTCAGCGAGAAAAAGGGATATCATCTGAGCTTCCCAAGGAGTGCCAAGTGAGCTGATGATGATTCACATTATATTTGTCCATCTTTGGTCCCTTCCAGGGAGGCAGTGATCGCAGCATGCAGAAGCTTGAAGTTCCCCAAGATGGATGGTCAGGAGGGTTCTTCCATGATGGACACCGGAGGCAGTGATGCAGGATGTTCGAGCTCGTCAGGGGTGGGAGAGGACTCAGGAGCGTTAACTCAGGTAAAGGACAACAGGACCAGGTGGGTACTCCTAAGCTCATCGCGCTTGGGTCAGCTGCTACTAGGTGCTCAGCGACCAGCTCTCTCCTCACCAGAGTCAACACTCTACTACATGAGATAGAGGCGGCCCTGCTGGTGCGGTTTCGTGAAGTATTGCGGACGCAATACCGATTATTCACAGAGCTACGACGTAGGTGCTGGAGCTGTTGGTCTTGGACAAAGTCCGGGCGGAGATTGAATACCTCTATACTTGCATACACCTGGTCAACCACCTTGACATGATGTGCGCCTTTGCCAACTTCACCAGCATCTACTGTGGAGGGTGATGGCTCCAAGGGCATTGCTATCTGCTGTTAGTAACATACTAGATACGCTCCGTCTACAGCAGGCTCAGCTAGGATGGCGTGTATCCCCACAGTTATCACTGCAGACAGCGGGTTGAAGGAACCATTAGAGATTGACGCTGCTCGCCACCCTCTCATTGAGTCCTCCTTTGTCTTCCTCCTAACAGAGAGATGTTTGTTACTCGCCGCAGGTATGCCTTGTATAACCACAATTTCTCGATAGCAGCTGCTTGTGGTGACAGTAGTCTGGCATCACAACGGAAAGAAGTATAACATCAGAGGATGAGTCGGTGACACGGTGACACATCTCAGTTCGCCCCCTATAACTACAAGCTATCATATGAGTCGGGACGACTACAGGTCATCACTGCTCCTAACGGGGCGGGGAAGTCGACCTACCTCACTACTCTAGCAGTTAATATAGTCTTAGCCCAGGTGAGCTAAGCCTCTGTTGAATCTGCCCATCTGCTCATCAGAT